AGGTGCTGGCCAGAGAGGCTAAAAGGCTGAAAGAACTGCTGTGAGGTGGTGAACACAGCTCTCTTCCCGAGAGAGAAAAGATAAGCCTCAGGCTGTCACTGACAGAGGAACCCATCTCATACATAAAGTAGTATCCAGGTCACATCAGAAAAGACAGAACAACACGGAGGCTCTTTGAGTCTGAGTCCATCCAACATCTCAGGAAAGCAATAGGAATCTAAGTAAATTTGTAGAAACAGATACGAATAGTTTTGGTGTTCTGATATAGAGCAAAGTTTAACCAAAATAGATGCAAAGAGAATGAAGGTTTCCCAAGTATTTGCTACATAAAAGATGTGCAGCTAAGAAGTTCCCTGCTTCATTTCTATATTGCCAGTAACAACACTGTGACCCAGAATCATCTTCACAGCTTCAAGACAAAGAAACTGCCTCTGAGAGAAGCAAACTTCAGGTGGTGGTTCAGGGGTTTGGCCAGATAGTTTTGACTCTTGTCCACATTCGTGATCATACTCAGTTGATTACAGGTGGTCTGTCAAATTTTGTAAGTAATTTAATTAAACCAGACTGAACAATGTCAGAGGATTTTTATAAGCTTCAGGCATTCACTTTTACCTTAATATTTTATCTTAATTAATAACCAATTTAAAAAGATATATAAGAAGGTGAATAACCTATGAAGAAAGGTATGTCAAATGTTGTATTATTCAGATGTCATAACTCCTGGAATGAGCATTTTATTTTATTTTTACATGGTCAGAATCCAGCAAATATAAAGTATCCTTTACAATAAGGATTATGGAATTGCAAAAATAAATTTAATATGTTACTCAATTTAATCTTAAGGCATTTGAATTTTCCTTATATAAGTTATGAGACTGTCTTTTCAGTAGGTGGAATCTGAGTTTGGAAAAATATATATTTACAAAAAGTTGAGCTCAGTACATTTTTATAAGCACAAGTTTGTGGATTTTTGTCTTTATTTAAAATGTTATGAATATTATCATGAATGGAGTGTGTAGTTAATCATTTTTATTAGATTATGATTTGAGTTGTGGAGAGAGAAGAATCTTCAGCAAAGAATAAGTATAAAGTTGTTTATAAACTACAAAAACAAGAAAACATTAGTGGATTTCAATGCCCAGTATAATAAAACTGCTCTTTACTTTTTGGTCAGATCAGTGAATATCAGTGAAGCTTCCAGAGTTTTATGTGTAATATGAAGTATTGATTTGAACAGGAATTTTTGAATAAGAATACCGATCAAGTATCAGTTGATTTGAAATATCAGCAGGATATCAACATCAAAGTTCGTTGATAAAAACCGGAACCACAAGCTAGTGACCTTACCAGAGCAAAGGGTATGCTCCTCTCTTCTCTGCCATGCTCACCTGCAGTAGTACATTTCCAGCGGTCTGGGGACTGAAATGATGGCGTGTCTGAGGTACACACTATGTTTAGGATAGTCTTTCCCCTGGCCAGAAAAGGCGGAGCCAGTGTCATAGGGCATTAAGAGTTTTCCAAATTTCTCTATCAGATTTGTGTAGTCAACTCTAGTCTGCGACCAGCCTCTTCTCTACTCTTACCCCACAAACAAGTAGATAATATGAGTGGCAACAATAAAATAAGTTTTTCTATTTATTCAGAAAAATAGGTGTGAAGCATGTTCTTATCTTAGAACACAGCCAACAAGAAAGTATCTACATAAGATCTGCAGTAACATCTTTGTCAAGGGGATAGCTTTTGATGAGCATCAAGCTAATTAATAACAGCGTTCAAGATGGGAACTAATTTTCTATGTATAAGGATCATCTAACCATTAACAATTGTACATGATAGTCCACAGCTTACCCAGGTATATGTTTTACACAAAAACAACAAGAGTTTGCAGGAAGCAAATATACTGCTCTAAAGGCATGCTATTCTAATGCCAATGCACCCACCAAAGCACTCAAGGAAAGACTTCATGATAAACCATATTATCTACAACCTTGATACACTAATCTCAAAATTCTTAATACAGTAATCTCAGAATTCTTGATTTTAATGCTATACACATCCCCATTCCCCACAGCTATCATTTGCTATTTAAATATTAGAAGTGCTTTAAAATAAAATTTTACAGAAAAAAATTAGGAATTATCATTTTTCTGGAGATGGCTTATCATGATACCAAGCCTTCAATTTGATAAAATGATGACAGAAAAGATGTATTTCAAGTATGTTCCTCATCTTTGAGTTGTTTTGTTAACCACATTTCCACACCAAACTAGGGTGTATTTATTTCCGTTCAATCAAAAATCCTTCTGCTTGTGAACCATCCATGCACTTACTCCACAAAATATCAAATTATTGAAAATTATTTACATCAGATATGTGTGAAGAGGTTGACCAGATGTTATGCTACCAATCTGGCAACATACTTTTTACTTAATGACAACAGTGATTCTCAAACTTTAGTAATGATAAAAATCACCAGAGGAATACTTTAAACACATGTTGCTCTCTGCTCCATTCTTAGAGTTATTCATTAAACAGGTCTCTGATGGTACCCAAGATTTTCCATTTCTAGCAAGACACCAAATTATGTTGGCATGGTTGGTCCTTTAAAAGAACCAGGTTAGAAATTCAATACAATATAGGTAAGTACCATGAGATATTTTGATACACAGAAATTTTTCTTATTCTTATCCCCTCTCACCAGCTCTTTATATTATCAGATAAATTTAGGGCCCATCTAGGTCCATTACCTTTAACATAATATAAATTGATTAGAATATCACTTTGTTTTCTGCAACGTTTGCAAAAGAAAACAAACAACGAATATTAGAGGTTGGTTTTGTGGCTCAGCATATTAAGCTACCACTTACAACATGTGTTCCAATATTGGAGCACTGGCTCAAGTCTCCACTGTTCAGCTTCCCCTTCAGATTCCCATTAATATGCCCAGGAAGGCAACAGATGATGGTTCAAGTACTTGGGTCCTTGCAACCTACATGGGAGACTCAAATGGAGTGCAGGGCTCTGTCAGAGTTTAGTGACACTAAACAGAATACATTGGTAGGTTCAGTGAACCTAAACCACCTCTCTTACAGAGTAAGTGCGGCATACAATTTTAACTTACTTAATAAAATAACTGAAGAATTTCTAAATTTTCTTAATTTTGTACCTTTTTCATACTAATATTGAAAACATTTAAAATAGAAGCTAATAGAACTTGAACAAGTACCTTTTAAAAATAATCAACTTAACTACTTATTCTCTTAACCATTATCATTTATGCATTTCTAATGCTGGAAAAGAAAATGCCACAAGGCTTTCAGGCATGATCAACATTTTAGCTTTGAAATAACAGTCTTATGTTTTATCATGATTTTAAGTAAGACATGTTAAGCTCACTGCATGCATGTGCTGTAGATGTCAAACTTTTAGTTGGGCAACTCTTTTTAATAACATTTAATAACAAAGAAATGTGAAAACTCTTGAGACACTTTTTATATTTGTATGGAAGGATTTTTGAAATGCCAGAACTTTCGGAATATACACAGGATTCAAGTATCATGAGAGCATCCAAGTATTATAAAAAGTCTGAAAATAAATTTATTCACTAGCATTTTTCTTCTAATATAATCATAAGACAATCAGGAAGAAAACTCAGTGCTTCGTATGCAAATTTTATCCATTTCACATTTTTAGAGTCCTAATTTCAATAATCCTTTTTTCTCCCCATTTCAATTCCACAGTCCTTCCTACTATGATTGTTTCCATGTAAGTAGCAATTTAGTCAAAAATCTCATTCTTTGGTAGAAGAAATATCTTTGGGTAGCAAGAAAAAGATGCTGTGGATGAATTTATAAATTCTGAACAATTTTCACTGATGAGCATTTCATCAACCCTAGAGCAATTAGGTACAAATAAGTCATATAATCGTGATTATTTTTGGTACCTAAATATTCTGGTTTTATCTCAGATCTTGGCTCAAACTAAATGACTTAGAAATATTTACTTTACATATGCCATAAATGAAATAAACAATTTTAATAACCTGACACTATTAACCTTATTTTTCACTTACTATTTTAAAGTACTACCACTAAATTATTTAAATTTTTTAGTGTCAGTGAACTAGCACTCAGAGGATTCAAAATATAGTAAAATCACTGTACATTTGGCTGAAATATATAGATTATATTAATTTAGATTATCTTTTATCCCACTGTTAGGTGCTACTTAACTACGAATTAGCCCATTTTGACTCTATAGGTGTGTATGACAAAATTGATGGTTAGAAATTTTATGATTAAGTGCTTTTCATCAGAGTCTTTATGGGTTATGAACTATAAGAACTGAAAAAATATCAATAGGATTGCAAGGTCTAGCCAGCAACATGAATTCCTCTGAAGTAATTTTCATGGCCAGATGATAATTTCAGATTTCTAACATCACATATCTTCAATCTTTGCAACAACAACAATCAGATATTTAAGCACTATGTGAAAGAATTACTGATGACATTTGGTAAGTTACTGAATAAGATAAATCAAGACCGAATCAATTATAAATATTTTCTGAAGGTAAAACGATTGTGCAAAGCAAGCTAAAGATAAGCAGAACTGGATATAGTGGCTTGTGCATTGCTGAACTTTAACAAGAGCAGGAGCGACAGTGCTACTGTGGAGCTTTGATGATACGGTCCACTGTTCACCTGAAACCACCAAACACAGCATTCGTAAGCCTGCTTCCTATCTCAGTTCTCAGTCACTGAGCATTTCCTTAGAGTGCACTTCTGTTCAGCTGAGATACAACATTAAAGTATCAAAATGCATTTGGTAAATCAGTAAATAAAAGCAAGGGGACCACAGGGCATCGTTGCTCAGAAATAGCAGAAATTTAAATGCCTTAGAAGGTTCCTCAATCTGACATTTACTGCAGTAACTTACACGCATTTGTATATTCTATCATATAAATAATAAAAGTCTTGCTGTTTGGGATATTTTTCTTACCTGTCAAGTTCTTTAATCCAAGTTGCTGAAGCCCAAAGTTTCCATCTTTCCTGTAGTTTAGAAATACTGCCAACGCATATCGATCCTCATAGAGCTTTGTCCCACGAATAATGCGTAGATTCTCCAGAGGCAGGTAGCGGAACTGGTTAAGAGCTACTAAGACATAGCCGGTGACTTCTCGAATAGACTGAAAAGACACAAACAATTGCTTGGTTTTTTTAAATTAACACTAATTTGCCCACCTGTTATACAATCAAGTAGATAAAAGTTAGCAAACTAATTACAATTTTTTAATTTGAGCTTCGGTACACTAACTTTCACACTTTTACTGTACATCACATTTATATTAATGTGCTGGTACACGACTGGATAGGGTTAGAATCTCACATGACACATTAGGTATGTTTCTTCAAAAATATCATGGGTGTGCTTACAATAAAATAACTGATAGTTTATGACCTATTTTTCACACTTGAGATTTTTTTTATTGTTTTTTGATACAATTTAGTTTGCAGTGGGCTCTCCTTCTCCCTCCCCAAAGTTCCCTCCACTCCACTCTCTTCTTCTCTCTAGGTTCATCTGGGATTTTCCCAAGTCCATCATGCTTCCTCTGGAGTGTCTCCCAGCCTTGTAGGAGAATAACTTTTCGTTGTAGGTTAATTCTTGTATCCTGAGGCCCTAATGTAGGTACAGTGAGGATTAAGCCTTCATTGTTTATGGGCAGTACCAATAACAGTGACAGAGGGGACAGTGACTCTCAGGTTGTCATAAATAATCAACCTCTTACGGAGGCTTGATTCATGAACACTTGAGATTTGAAGAATGCATTGACTTTTCATCGACTGACTATAATGAGATGAATCCATCTATCAATCAAGCTTTACAATAAAAAGCAAATAGATAAAAAAATATCATAAGTGCAATAAACCTGTGCTAGTTTTCAGGTTAAGGGTTAATTTTAAGTGTCTATGGGACAAGAGTTTAGCCTAGCAATTAAGAAACCTGCATTCCACATTGGAATGCCTGGGTTTCATTTATACCTTTGATTCCTCGCTATAAATTCCTGCCAGTACTGACTCTTGGCAGCATCAGTGGTGGCTTAAGTCATTATACTCCTGCCACCTAATCAGGGAACCTAGATGTCACACCCAACTCCCAAATTCAGCCCCACCTAGCCCTGGCTATTGCAGAACATAGACACTTAGCCAGCTAATGAGGTCTCTCTCATTCTCCTTTTCTCAAATAAGAAAATTAAGATCTACTATGTTAGTTTTAGTACTTATATGTGTAGATATGTACAACTCTAGAGAACACATACACAGAAACAACACACATTCAGAGCTTATTATTGCCCCTAAATCCTTTATAAACTTTTTTTAAAACTTTCTACTATTTAAATTTAGTTGCATACAATTACTTGAGGATTTGTGAGACTTGACAGTTTTGCAAAGATAGCTTCAAAATTTTCAGTAAACAATATCATAATAATACGTAACAACATGCACCCCCACACGCATATATATTGTTTATAAAAACTGAAAGTATATAATGTTCTAAAGTACATTGCTTCTGGATATTCTGAGCCTTTCCATTTCAGATGCCCCTGTGCTTGCATTTTGAGTGTTTAATTTTGCTTTGTTTATTTCTTTCTGCACTCTTGCTCCCTAAATGATCTCATCCAGTTTGAGGACTGTCAATGTTCCATTTTTATTCTGTAAATCTCCTCTAAACTTTAAGCTTACATCGACTGCCTACTCAGCATCCTCACTTGGATGTGTGGCATTGACATGTACCTGTTGAAAACGGAAACCTTTTATTTTCCCATCTGTCCAACTTTCCTTATCTCCCCTGCAGTCAATCCACTTTCATGATTTTTACCTTTTAACATATAATGGATATGTTTGTCACATTTAGCATGTATAATACACTCCTCCTACTCCCAGCATATCGCTTTACAAAATCAAAAACACTTATTTATTCACTCTTTTTTGTCTCACTTGACAATAAGAGGCCAACAAGGATTTGTTGAGTGCTATGGCCCTTCCCTGGCAATATCCTTTACCTCTGGGAAAGCCATCTTCACCTTCCTGACCCCAAGCCCTCATTTGGCTGGAGATCCACTAGTTCAGGTCAATCCCCAGACTATATCACCTACATGCATCTACCTAGTAAAATAGGTGGTCCAGATGCAGACATTTCCAAGGCACGTGTACAGCTCCCAGATGTGTAGGTCAGAATGCATGCTACTTTCATGCAAGATCTCTAACAACACAGAACAGAACGGAACGGAGAAGCCCCAGGCTGGGGTTTGTCTCTCTCCATTCCATCATACCTCTGAGGTCAAAAGAGACCTAAAATCGCACGTGACTATCTAGTTCGAGATACAGATTTACCTAAAGTGAGAGGATAAACGTTATTTGGTAGTTCTTGAGAAGCCTAAAGTATACTATAAAAAAATAAAATTTGTTGGTGTACTATTGTACTCTGGCTTCAATTCTCACATTTCTGCAGGCAAGCACACTAACCAACAGTAACTTGGGAGAGTAAAATTCTGATTGAGCAAAGACGGATATGAAGATAAATGGGACTCGGGAAATTACTCATTTCCAGCATTACATTGGAAAATATGAGACACTTGGGTATTCTTGAGACACTGAGTGCCTACAGGTGAAGAGATGAAAGCTTAGGGCAAAAGAAGAGACCTAGGAGAGGTCAGCACTGTCACACATTATTAGTTCACCACGTGTATTTGAACTTGTACCTGCCTGAAAGAAGCCAGCCTGCAGCTCTACATGCCCTCCCTTTCAAGTACTATTCCAATGGTTTAGTTATTCATTGGGAATAGAGGCTGCTTTACTAATACATTATCTAGACTATGTTAAAGCATCCATCCACTCTCCTCAAAACCCTCCAACCCCACATGGGGGTTCCAGATAAGTTTCCCTTATCAAGAACCAAAATCCATTGGATTAACCTGAGATTGAAGAACGCAGTAATGAGATTACCAGCAAAAACTCAGATGAAGTACAACCAGGTCAAAGAAAGAAATCTAACAAAAAAACCCATATGACTAGCAATGGTTCATTGGTTACTAAAAGGAGAACTTCTTCTAGCAGAGCATTTGCAAAGCAATTAGCAAAACCTGAAGGAAAATAGCCTGCAAATGTTAAGGACACTAGGACATATGATGGATGGGATGTGAGACAATAGTGAATGCAAGCAAAGAAGTGGCTTAATAATACAGAAGAAAAGCTCCAAAATTTCTTAGTTAAGAGAAAAAACAGAAATAAGCGAAGTTTTGTATTTGTAAGTTATTCAATGTATCTTGAAATCAGTCAACAACTTTACATAATATAGATACTTCACATCCCAAACCAGTCTGCTAAATTAGTCCTTGAAATACTTTTGTTGCCTTCAAAAAGAACAGCTAGTCCTATGCAGACATTCTGAGACTGAGAAACTGCTGTGCCCACATTTCTCTCTCATTGATCATTCTGTATATTACCCCCTGGTTGTGAAATTAGGCTGTGTAACGGAAAGCTTACCTAACAAATATCCTTTTCATAGATGAACTCTGGATATCATTGCATGTTAATGCCAAAAGTGAGTATGTCAAAAATATTTTAAACAAAGCCTCTCACAGCCAAGTATTAATAACAGTAGTAAAAATTCTATCCATCTTATCTCCAACAATCTTCTACTGTCCAGAGTGATGATGCAAATAACAGGACAAAAATTATGTTAAGTCTCCCAGACTAAGTAAGATTTGTTGCTGTACTCTGAAATTCATGGAACCAAAACATTTTTTAATTACAGGATATAAACATAAACTTCTCATATTTATTAGCAACACATTGTGCCTTCATTTTAGTGCCTCTTTCTGGTTTCCTGATATTCATAGTTATATTTTTTCAGGTATCCCTAAATGCTTTCTATGTGCAAATATCTTTAAAAATACCTCAAAAGGTAACTCCAATGCATAACGTGAACTACAATGAGTACTGACTGCCAAGTAGAATTATGGGAAACAATTTAACAATCGTAGGATTGTATGTGATGTGAAGATAGTCAGTAATATGGTTTCTAGGTCTTGGTGTCAGTCAAGAGTTACCTAAAGCTATTAGGATTGTGTCAGACAAGGACAAGGACAACCATGTGAGGGGACACCAGCTTCCATTTCTGAGGGACTCAACCATCAAAGACAATCTGAGCAGCACCATATTTTTTACAATCTTAGATTTTTTTAAAGTATATAACTAGCCAACAGGAAAGCCTAATGGGAAAATGTGGTTTGTTTCCCAAGCAGAAGTGAGCTCAAATTCTGTTCTATGCACTTAGCCATGCTATGATTTGGATGAAGTTATTGAACCTCACCGAGTCTCAGTTTCTTCAAATTCACAAACGTGATAGCAATATGCCTGTCATGAAACCACTGCAGTGATCAGGGGATACAGGAAAAGTGCCTGGAAACAGAGAACTTTCAAACACGTGCTGATGGTTACAATGATTTCTTTCATAATAACTAGGCTGCTGAACGGTCTGTGGATAATCAGAGCAGGAATCAAAAAATTACATCAACATAACTATTGCTTTTATTCTGTTGTAGCACAAATTTTGGTGTCTTTGTATCTTTAGTTTTCGATATAATACTAAATTTCAGAAATGGATAGTTGTCCTTGCTTTAGCACTACTCTTAGTACAAACCCTGTCACTCACTGCTCAAACATTCAACAAAAGCTTTTGAATAGACTGCCTCGGAGAAGTCCAAAGCAATGCTGCAAGTCTTTTCTGATATTGTTTTTCATGGAAAATGATTTTATGAACCCGCTGCTAATATAAACAATGTCTCAAGAACATACTCATGATTTTTGCTCAAGGACCGTGATAGTAAACAGAAATAACCACGATGCCTGAGCAGGGAGAAAATCCTGCCTGTGGTTCTGGCTGAGAAAACAGTTCAGTCTGAGATGTATGGTTTATTTGTCAATTGAAGAGTGAATACTCATTTGAAGGCATATCATCCTCCAAGTGGTTTAACTCAGTAAACTAATTTTCACTGTCAATGTATGCTTATACAGCTGCTTTGCTCAAGAAGTAAATGCAACTGAAGATTATTAAAGCCATAAATGCTTCAAAAAGCTTCTAAGTCAGGGGAAAATTTCATTTGCTTATGGCATCTAACAATTG